CATTTTCTTACAAAAAAAAAAAAGAAGATAATATAGCGGGTTATTTGGTTATATATATATATATATATATATATATATATATATATATATATATATATATATATATATATATATATATATATATATATATATATATATATATATATATATGAATATATATATATATATGTATGTATATTAGTAATGTTAAATAAAATACTATAATCATTCCAAATTTTATTCTGTTGCAGTCTTGAGAATATTTTATGAGGTCATTCTTGTTGGCAGATTTTCTGTAAACTTTCAATTGAAGAACATTATTGGTTCTATGTAGTATGATATCCAGGAAGAGTAAAGTGTTGTTAATCTCAGATTAAAAAGTGAAATCTCTTGTGGGTTTTATATATATGTTCATCATTCTCGTTTAACGCTTATAATAACGATTACTGGTGTGAGGTTACGTGCTTTTGAATTCGGTGGCCAGAATAAATATATGTTTTACTGAGACAAGCTTGCTAACCATTACACCACGCCAATGAACCCTAAAGATGATTATATATATATATATATATATATATATATATATATATATATATATATGAATGCCATCATGAAGATATTTTAAAGATATTAAAACATAGTAGGTCAAAATTACCCACAACATGGCTAAATGAATCTACCTATAAATCTGTCTATATTTCTGAGATGAGGCATTATTTACATTATTCGGACTATTGTCCTCATCTTTGTCGCCATATTTATTACAACGTTTCGGCTGACAAAGATGAGGACAATAGTCCGAATAATGTAAATAATCTACCTAAAATATCTAAATATTGTGTTTGAAATTCAGTTAAAAATGCTACAAAATTTTATTCCGACCATATATATATATATATATATATATATATATATATATATATATATATATATATATAATTCATCGAGTCTTGAAGAATCCTCAGCAGAAAGCACTGGACGGCCGTTTCGTCCTATTTTGGGAACTTAGTGCGCATCCACTACCGAGAAATGGAACCGTTACGATATGACGCAAGCTTCATACCCACTGGACCAACAGGTCTCGGTGACGGAGAGGTAACAAATTAGACTCGATACAGCGCCAGCTCTTCACAATTTCTGTCCTGTGACTCATATGAGTCTATTTATACCAACGGACTATATATATATATATATATATAGACATATTTAGTTATATATATGGACTAAATTGTATATATATATATATATATATATATATATATATATATATATATATATGTACGAAATAGTAATATATATATATAAGTAATGAAAATCTTGGTAATCCGTGTGGAGAATCCCAAGGAAGATGAAATCCGGAGAGCTCAATATTAAATCAGAGCGATTAATTTAATTTAATGAAAACAGAGGGTCCATGGCTATAATTTATTTCCCCAGGGAGTTTCAGACTTCACTTCTAAGGATGAAAAAATGAATTTTAATATACATATAATTTTTTACACTTTTGAGGAGTAGTATTAAGCAGATGATATAGAAAGTGGTGAGATATAGTGTGACAGACATGGTCAAATTAGAGATGGAAGGGAGAGATAGTAATGCTTTTAAATTTATTTTTATTACAATACTTACATTTATTTTAGTACAATACTTAATAATAATATATATATATATATATATATATATATATATATATATATATATATATATATATATTAGAGTTTTTAAGTTTGAAGCCATCCTCATACTAAGCACAGGATGAACTTCATAGACGAGGTGGAAAAATGAAAAAGATCTCTTAGAGCCATTGAAAAAAGAATGGAATCAATTATCAAACTTATACTTTGAGAAACTTTTGCAACAAATGCCAAAAAGCTGTGCTGCAGTAATCGAGCCTAAAGGAGAATAATTTGAGGAGGGCAAAATTTAATCATAAAAGGCTTTTTTTCTTTTTGTCATAATAAAATTTTTAATATAAAAATCATGTCTCACTCTTTCTTTTAACTATGTATAATAATTTTCTACTATTAGAACCAATATAAAAGTTATCAGGGGTGGCCTCAAACTCTAGAACTGTAGTGTGTGTGTATATATATATATATATATAGGATAGAATAACGGTTAGCGATCCAGAAAGTTACCCATAGTTATAGGTTAAATAGTGTTATAGTGGAACACACCTATTCTATAGTTAATAGACTCTCCCACCTATAATAAATAGGAGTAGTAAGAGTAACAAGGCAGTCGGCAGTGAGTTGGTCAGTCAGTCGATGTCGGACGACCATTAGTCGGATATTAAAGTATCAGCCACCACAACTAGATTACTGCGTCATTACCTATTATATCAAGTTCCTAACGTTTTGTACGTCGAACCTATTTTAGGACCGACTTAGTACAAATACAAGCCTCCACTGTGAAACCACTACATAATAGCGCCTCTCTTGCCTTGACAAGAAGAAAAACTGAATTCAAACCAAGCCTGAAGAGGGATTGGCTCCGTCAGGCTACCACACCCTCCAACTGTAATGGGCTACGGAACTGGTGATGTGTGCTGAATCTAACTTAAATGTCAGTAGTGACTCGATTTTTAATAAAGTCTTCTCATTTACTGGGCGCTCTGCAAATTTAGCCTTGTACCATGCAAATGCATTGAAATAAAGAAGCGATTTCCAAGCGTAGAAGACGCTTTTTTTTTTTTTAAAAAAGAAGAAATAAGCCACTTAGTTATATTTTGAGCCCCAATGTTATGTTGCTTACAAGAAAGCGTATAATTACAATGTGACACATAGTGGTGAAAGGAGACATAACAGGGATATGCAATATTTAATTTCCTAGATAGCAGTAAATACTGGACAGTCTCCTTAAAGATGAAAAAGTGACTTGAAAAACAGTGATGTGCTTCTACTGACATTTTTTTTAAGCGTTTCACCCCAAGCAAGGCGGGAAGCCACTAGGACGCAAGGGGTTACAGAAGATTTGGAGCAAGATCAGATAGGAGTGATAGAGGAAAGGATGAGGAGAAGGATAGTGGATAGCTCAAGGCAATTGGAGATGTCGATTGACATTACATTTGAATAGTTGGAGATTATAGCTCTCAGGGAAAATGGAATAGGGAAGGGAGTTCCACAGGCGAGAGGTGCGAGACATGAAGCTATTGAAGTAGAAGAGACGGCTACATTTAGGAATTTCGACAGTGAAGGGGTGAGAGCGGGATATCAGCCTCGTAGGGCGCTTGAATTCATGTTGAGAATACCTTTTTTTTACAATGATGTTCACTCGAGTAAGAGGTACAGTTTATAAAGATACTGAGCTGTTACGTGACATCTGTGCTTATATTTATGACATAATGAGGAAGAAGGGCCTGGAGAATCTGATACTCACGGGTCGAATAGAGGGAAAGAGAGACACGCGGGCTTGAACAAGTGGATGACAGAACGGGGTCTGGGAGGAAATGACAGAGGGAAGGAACTGCAAGGGATAGGGGGAGGTGGAGAGCCATGATCACCTACGTCCTGAAAGGACATGGCACATAAAAAAAAAGAAGGATAGCTCTAGACTTGAGCAGGTTGTTTGTGATCGGGGACTACAATGGCATAACGGGGAAAAATTGACAATAACGTTCACTCTGTACATGACCCAAGAGCCACTCGAGGTAGAAGGTTACAGAGTAAGAGGCACAGTTTATAGGGATATATAAACAAGATAATGGTTAACCCGAGACTTGAACAGATTAAGATTGTAGGGATCGTGGAAGCATCCTCTTGTGAGTCGTAACGCAAAGCAGTGGTTCACGGGAAGACGCTGCTCGAGTGGAACTTACATCTCCTCAAAGAAATACGAAGGGAATGACTGCGTGGAGATTATAACTAGTGTAATTTTGGCCACCTCGAGGCGGTGTAATGGTTAGCACACTTATCTCGCTAAAACAATTACGACTGAGTAGTGAGTTCGATCTTCACTGAGTGCCCGCTACTTTCGACCTTGTGCCACCTAATCTACGCTTGGAAAATCACTATAACTGGTGGAACTAAGGCAGTAAGAACATTTTCCGTGGAAATAGCGATAGTGCAGAGAGAGGAGTAATGGATAGCGGCTCTGATTGAGGAATCAGAGAGCCCAGTTCGAATTCCAGTCGAATCCATTACATTCACTTACGTGCTAATACCCTTGGGAAAGGTATGAGTCCTCTTTTTCTTCCCCCAGCTATGGGTAAATAGCAGGACAGACCGGGTTCTGTAGCCTTGGATGGCAACTGGTCTATTGCAGAAAGAAATGGCAACCTAGTACGGGAAAAATCTGCCTCGTCAGTTATGTATCACGCATGGCACATAACTGACTGACTGTACCGAGAGGCCTGGCTTATCGAAACTAGAAAATGAAGACTTGACAGTTACTGTCCGTATTTGGCAACAGTACTCCATTTTTTTACCTGATCTGAGTCTTATAAAGGTAAAGCGCTAGCAAGGGGAGTCAGGTACTTACTGGAGCGGTACAGGGAACCGAAGACAGGACATGAGAGTAATAAGAGGTTTTACAGAAAACACAAGGAATCCCGGACTATCCAATGAAGAAAGAGGGCTTGGCGAAACTAACACTCAGAGTAATTACTGGAGGCAAGAGAAGCAGACGAAACATCAAGTTGCTTAACTAACAAGATGACATAAAAGATAAAGAAAGATGCTTACGGTTCAAAGGTTACTTCGAGGAATAGGAAGTTTTGGAGAGCCATGATCGCCCACGTCCTGAATGGACAAGCACATAAAAGAGGATGAGCTACATTTAAGCGCATTTATATTTCACCCAAATTAATCCTTGTACCCGACTTGAGCATTGTAAATTATACGGCATTCTAGAGTTTAGCGTACTAATTGCACGAATAATTGCTGATCTGTTTGTGGCTCTCCAAATGCTCCACAAATCAGGCCTTATGCCAGACTAACATTGGCTGAAGAAAACATTTCTGTTAATTATTAGATCCGAGCGAAAGAGTGCAGTGTCATTTATACAACGTCGCTCTTCGTTACAATGCCTGCATGAAGAGGGAGAATAGAAACAGAAAAGAAAGAAAGAAAGAAAGAAAGAAAGAAAGAAAGAAAGAAAGGAAGGGAGGAAGGAAGAAAGAAAGAAGTAGAATTTTTAATAGCTTCCGTTCCGTCGTCTGGGCCCAGCAAACAGCGGGTAGCGGGCAGGATGCTTAGGTCGTGACTCGGTCACAATGCATCAGCGTCGATGGAATTCAGTCAGCCTGTCATATAGCACATAAAAGTCGTCTGATTGCGAAAACAAAACAAAAAAAAAATGTTTACAAAAAGCAAAAAAAGAAATAAAATAAAAAAAATGAATCAAATATTGTGACTACCATGAAAAAATGTATTTTCTTAATATTTATTTATAAAAGATATTTTCAGACAAGAAGGATACGAGTCGTATCCTTCTTGTCTGCAAATATCTACGACACTGGTCTGTAGGTTAAGTATTTTTAGGATTAAATTTCAAGGGGGTTGCCAAAACAAAACGGAATTACTGTCGCCATAGTTAACCTTGACAGGGCCCAGCCACTAAGAACAGTGAAACAATTGAGCGTTAAAGAAAAAAAAAATGACTGTTTTAGTTTGAAGAAGCCATGACAATTTTCAGTAATAGCTTTCTTTCAATAAATCGGTCATAACACAAAAGACTAATGCATAATACTTCAGCGGCAGAAGAAGCCGGAAAAATGATTTCGGTAACTTCTGCCTTCTATTATCATCATCATCACCACCACCACCACCACCACCACCACCACCACCACCACTACTACTACTACTACTACTACTACTATTAGTTCGGTGTCAGTCGCTTCGATTTAATTTATTCTTATAAATACAGGAGTCATAAAAATGACTTCAAATTTTGCACATTTCGGTCTTGTTCCCAAACAGAAAGGGACATTTAAACGTCACAAATATCAAGTTCAAATTGTTTGTACGTTTGCCTGTGTGTAATTCAATGAAAGGCCTAAAAAATCGACAAAATAAAATAAAAAAGCTCCGAAAAATAATTCTATTTTTTAAAAGTAATATTCACCCTGTACAAGGCCCGCGGGTCACTCGAGGTAGAGGGTTACGTTAAGGGATTGTTTATATGGATAGGAGGGGAAAATAATGATTAACTCCAGACTTGAACAGGTTAAGAATAAGATTGTAGTGATTAGGGAATCATTCTCGTGGGAGTCTGTTCCACAGGGCATTGGTTTGCTGGAAGAGGCTGTTTGAGTGGAACTTATTTCTCGCCGATGGAATACGGATGGAAAGTGAATGGTTGTTATGTAAACGGCATGGCGGGTTCCAGCCGTGAAGATTAGACCTAGTGGAATGTGGTTCGTCCGAGAATTTTCCATGGAGGTCTCGACAGATCAGTAAGAGGCTTGCCACAGCCTGCCTGTGAGAGAGAGAGAGAGGTTGGAGGGTGGAAAATAATTCTTCTCCAGCAAGGACTCGGAGACGCTTTTAAACTCTATCAAAACTGTCATTACAAAATAATTTCCGAAAAGTTTAAAAAAATTATGTTTACCCTGTACAAGGCCCAAGAGCCACTCGAGGTAGAGGGTTACAGTATAAGCGGCGCCACCCCAAGCAAGGTGAAAATGTCATCAAAACGCAAGGGGCCATCGGAAGTGATAAATCAGAAATATTATTGGTCCTGATCTGGCATCTCGGCTTCAGTCACTTTCCCACTGCCTTAAGGTTGCCACCCAGTGTCTTTTCTATAAATACTTTCATGGTAATTGTTCGGATGAGTTCTTCACTTAGACATTAAGAATTTAAGCACAGTACTAGACTGGTGGCGATATCTCTTCAGTTTACAGTCGAGCTGGCTAGATGTAACCGTAGGTTCTATGTTAACAGCTTCTTTTCTCGCACTTTTCGATTGTGGAACTTCCTTCCGGCTCTATATTTTCCTGTCAACTTTAATCTGAAAAATTTAAATGCAATGTCAATCGCTATTTACTGCCCTCTTGATTGCTCTTTCGCTCATTATTAATGTTTCTGTTCCTAATTCTTACACACCCTGCAACCACCTTGTCTCTTAGTGGCTTTACTGCCTTGCATCGGGTGATTCCGATTAAAAATGTTTAAAAAAAGAAAAAGAAAAAAAAGACTATAAAATAACGGGACAAAGAAAGTAAGCGACGCAAAGCTGTAGATCTGGATAAAAGTGGCTAGAAAAGGGACTAGTTGTTCGATTCACTTAGGGAGACATTTTCTTTCGTAGGACTTCCGGTAGACATTATTTTCACTGTTTAACAAGCAGGGATATCTTCTCAAATATGTGTCACCTCATTTATAGTAAATAAAAAGGAATGGATAAAATGATGATAGGGAAAGACGAAAGAAAATTGACAAAATGAAAAAGAAAAGAAAGGATGAAAAGAAAGACCAAAAAGAAATAAGAAATGAAAGAAAATATGGAAAGGACAGAAGCAATGCAGGAAACAAACAAATAATTGATTATGGAAATAACGCAAAGAAAAAATGACTTATAGAAATAAAGATAAAATGAAAAACTGAATGACTCATAATCAGGTCATTCGTCTTCCCGAGTTATTTCGGCTTCAGTCACAACTTCACACTGTTTGCTGCCGGCGGCAGCAATGACGAGAGTCCACTACTAGCGTCACCCCCACTCAATACCGACAGCACAACTTAAGCAGTAGAAGGGCTTCGTAGGTGCAGACATATGCAGAAAGGGAGATGCGCATGCGTGTTAATATTTGAAAGCGGCAGCCGATATATGTCAAATATTAATTCTACTCGGTTAACAAATGGGACCTCATTAATAAATAATAATAATAATAATAATTATTATTATTATTATTTTTATTCTACTTCTTCTTATGTATCTTGTCCCTTCAGGACTTTGACGATCATGGTGAACCACAATATTTTGTCCTTTGTAGATCTTAGTAATTTTCCCTATATCTCCTGAGACCCCCATATGATAATGTTATTAAGCTTATCAGAGGATATGAAAAGAATTTACGTAAAATAAATAGACAACACTTGTTTATATTATTTAATGAAACATGTATCAATATATATATATATATATATATATATATATATATATATATATATATATATATATATATAGGTAAGAGGGTACAATTCCAACATTCGTAACTTTTAATTTACAGAGTAGAGCAATATTATTTATTTTAGGATATTACACTGAAAACATGTCAAAATCGCCAAAAAATTGCAGTTGTGTTTCAACGCATATCAATATGTCTCATCAGACGATTGTAAATTACTGCCGATTGAACGATTTTTTTGGATTTAAAAGCAAAATGCAACCACTTTAAAAAAAAAAAAAAGTTTATAAGGCTTGAGATCGACCAATCAAATATGACCCATGTTAAATTTAAACTAAGCGAAGAAGCAAAAAATAAAAATTATTCTTATATAAATGGGTCATGACCTGTAGATTGCTAGACATTAACTTAAAGCTGGTACATATAGTTACATAAAATATACAAACCAGACAATCCATTTTCCTAAGAAATAAAAAAAGGCACGGTGGAGTAATGGATTGCGGCTTAGATTGAGTTCGAATTCCAATCGAGTTCATTACATTCACTTACGTGCTAATACCCTTGGGAAGGTATGAATCCAACTTTTCTCACCCCCTAGCAGGACAGACTGGGTTCTCTAGCCTTAGGTGGTAAGCGGTCTAGGAGAAGGTAAGCTCTGAATTCAAGACTGTATGTAGCCCTGGCGAAGAACATACTATGCAATTTGGGTCTTATAACCTTGGTTTTCTGAAGGGAAACTCTGAATTCAAACCAGCTCCATCAGGCTATCTTTCTACTACGGTTGCAGTACATGTGGTGCTCCTTAGACCCTAATGGGTTACGGGATTCGTGATCGTGAAAATGAAGCAATTAGACAGATTCAAATTATAGCAGACACATTATTAAATATATTATATTAATTAATCAATTTCAAAGAGAACCTTTTTTATTAAAAATTATTAATAAAGTACAATATCCCTAGTGAATGGATACCAACTTAAAATAAAATTTAATTAACATAAAATTTACGGAGAAAGCTAAAATGTACACTGCATTTAAAACATCAAATGATTGATCTGTAAACATAACGCGACCCTCGCCTAAGCTTTCCACCAACCTGCCAATAATCTACCCCATGTTGATTTCCAGTCATCGATCTAGTCGGTGTTCACCGAGAGCTGGGAAAGGGTGCGATGCACGCTCACAACGTAACACAGTAAAAGAAAAAAGCCTCGTCGAACGCTAACCCTATTTTATGTCGGTGTTTTATTCGGCGCCTCGTCTGCTCATCCGGTTAGGTAGGCAGGTAGGTAAGTAGGTAGGTAGGTGATACATGGAACAACTTTTGCTAAGTCAGCTCTCCTTCCCTGCCAACCTTGTCTATCTACTCATCACGATGTGATGGCTGGCAAATACTAAATAAACTATTTTTTTTTATATAGAAGGGCTCCTAGGTTGGACTGAGAACTTTTTAGTACCGCTTCGAATATTAAAATTAAAACGTTCATAACAATAGCGAATATCAAATATGCAGACAAATAAAAAGCCTACAACTGGTCTAGAAAGGCGTTCAGAGAGGTGCTAAAATGAGTTGTGACATGAATAGGTGGCAAATGATTCTATTTTAGCTATTGGGGTACCAAGTCCCTGAAATGAAAAAAAGCGGGACGAAGAGTTTCCCCAATCAGGAGTTCACGTTCTCTGTGGACAGATTACCAAACTAGGGGTCCGTGGACACTCTTAAGAGCAGGTTTCCATGGAGCTGAATTAAATCAGTTTGGTATTATCGAGCGATAAGTATTGTGCGCGTGAGTGAGTGAGTGAGTGAGAGAGAGAGAGAGAGAGAGAGAGAAGGAAGGAAAGAGGTTAGAATGATTTTGCACATATTCAAGCTGTCCGTGGAGCTAAACTAATTACGATTGAATAATAAGCTTGATCCTCACTGGGTGCCCCATAATTTCGGCCTTGTGCCACATCTAAGCTAGGCCTAGAAAATCACTATTCAAATCGTTTGCGTTTATTAAGTAAAGCAAAATGTAGGAGTAAATTTTTTAAAAGAATCATAGTTTCTGATTATCCCTCGCCTCTGTTAATACGAGCACTTCGTTCAACATCAAAATGCAGGACAGTTCTGCATTTCAGCGGAAGGTTCTTTTCTTTTTATGTGCCATGTCCTTTCAGGACGTAGGCGATCATGGCTCTCCACCTCCCTCTATCCCTTGCAGCTCTCAACAAGTTCCTTCCCTCTGCTTCCTCCCCCAGACCACGTTCTGTCATCCACTTGCTTAAGCCCGCCAGGTATATTTGTTTTTTGTTTTTTTAAATTTTATTTTATTATTCTGTATAGTTGAATAGGGTCACCGGACGGTTGGTAACCCTATTCAACTATACAGAATATAAAAAAAAAAATTGTATGAGAACGAACTAGAAATTGTACAAGAAAAAAGAATTCTGAGATTTTCACGCGAGGATAGACGATTCCACGGAAGCAAGAAGAAAAATTACCGCGAAGAAAATAAGTAGAGAATTGTTATTTAAAACGTTAACCTCCAGCGGCCAGTTAATGAAATCTGACTTCAAACGCTAACTTTATAATAGCCAACTTAGGCAATAAAAAATTTAATGAAAAATTTAATAAAAATTTAATGACTTCAACTGAAGTTTTAACTTTCTATCCACATTAATAGCATTACTGCTAATAAAATGAAAATGTATTAGAAAGTGCCAATCACGAGATAACACAGTCGGTGTCATGATATAAACTGCCAACAATGTTGATAACTTGTTTGCAGTCAGTATGATAACATTCAACCTAATCGTGCCGTCGAAGTCTTCTTTTTAGATGTGCCATGTTCTCAACATCTTCCTGTCCCTTGCAGCAATTAACCCTTTGATCCCTGACCACCGCTTTACCGGCGGTAGAGAAAAAATGACGTAATGCCCAGCCACCGGTTGAACAGTGGTAGAGAAAAATGACTTAATGCTCAGCTACCCAGTTGAACGGTGAGTAAACACTTGTAACTATTTTTTATATCTACCGTGAAACATTACACACCAATTATTTGCGAATTTTATCTCAGAGGCACAGGCAGAAGGGTTAAAATTGTTTAGGAACGCAAGGCTCAAATGGTTAATAAGTTTTGTCGTTATTTCTCCTAAACCCAGTTCTGCCATCCATTTGCTCAAGCGCATCAAATATGTGAAACGCTGCTTTCCTTTGTCTCTTTTTCATACAATCTGTCCTGTGAGTATCCGATTTTCCAAGACCTCCTTTCTCATTATATGCCCCCAACACATCAAATATCTCTTCTTGTGTTAAAATTAAAGTTTGGAAGTTCCATGGAGTGAATTGAGTAATTCAAAGTTATTTCTTCAAAATTATCATTGTTGTGTTCTAAGATAGACGTGAATACGCTTTAGTTTTGAGCCGAACGCCCAGTTAGCCATCGGCAGGAGTTTGCTGAAATGTCCGCGCGGAGTTCAGTTTTTAAGCTAGTTAATAAGTCTTTTTTTTTTTTTTTTACATATTATTTAATCAAGATGTATTGCATCATGCAGGGATGAACGTTTACTCGAGAAACCCCAAGCGATTACTGATGAATTTACATTTTCTTTATGTGCCGTGTTCCCTCATGACGTATGGCTCTCCACAAGTTCCTGTCACTTGTAGCTCTTAATAAATTTTGCCTTTCTGTTATTTCTCCTAAACCCTGTTCCACCATCCATATGCTCAAGCTCATCAACTATGTTACACACTGCTTTCCTCTATTCCTCTTTACCTCAATCTGTCCCGTGGGTATCAGGTTTTCCAAGCCCTTCTTCATCATTATGTGTTCCCAACACATCAACTATCTCTTCCTGGGTTAAAGTGAGGTTTTGAAGTTCCATGGAGTGAATTGAGGAACTCAAAGTTATTTTTTCAAAATTATACATACTGTTTTCTAAGCTGGACGTGAATACACTTTAGTTTTGAGCCGAACGCCCATATACTTTGATATGGAAAAATAATTTTACTTACTATAAGTAATTTCAAATACATTTCCTTCTGTTATATAGTAATATAGTCTATTAAAACTAACAATGAAAAATATTTTAAAGTTGTAATTAAAATTCTAGTTAAATAAATGATTTCTAACGTAAACTTCTTTTACTTAGTACTACACGCTCTTAAAAGAATCCAATAAAACACCTATAGTAAAATAAAATTAATATGAAATGCCAGAAGATGTAAGCTTTTGAATGACCCATGTCCTTTGTACTTACATGAGAAACAATATATTACTAGGTTTTATATATATATATATAAAATAAAAGTTTACTAAATCAGTGAAATTAAGTAACTATTTTTGACGTCATTGTCATAAATTTTACTTAAATAATATAAAAAAAAAATGTACCCTAATATACATACTTATACTTGATGTAAAAATAATCCTACATACTATAAGGGATTCTAATACATTTAACTGTTCTTAAAAAAAATATAGTATAATAAAAATTAAAAATGAGAATATTTCAAATCGTAGTTAAATAAAAAGTATTCTAATCTGGACACCCGCGAAAATCTTTAAATTTACAAATAGAAAAAAATGCCGTAAGAATTTTTTTGCCGTTGACAATAAATTAAAAAAAAAAAATCCAGACGACATGCATTCAACGGATGTCAGTTCTAATTGAAAAATATATCC